GGATAAAATGAATGCATGCATATGATATACCGGTACCATATCGGATACTGGCTAGAGATTCAATTTACTTGTATTGGTCAGTATTGGATGTACTGTTTATATTGGTAGATATTGGATAATGCAAGCACACTACAAATATTGTGTAATCAAGTGAGCAATGCATAGTCAAAACATCATCAAAAAAGCACTAATTAAATGTCAATGTTTTGGTCAATGATTTTGGCAGAAACAAAAAATTCATTTCTGCTACCTAAATTTCAGTGCATCACTACTCTTACATTTAGATTTAATTTTCATAAATCTAACACACAAGTTTAATCTTTAAAAGCACAATTTAATATCTAATAATATCTGCAGAAAATCTCAAAACGAAAATGCAATTTTCATTCTGTACATTATAGTTTTGTGATGCCTAAATTCATTTGTAGCATTTAAAAAACATATTCGTTTTTTTAGTTTTATTTTTTATTTGATAACTATACATTTTAAAGCCAGACATTTGTTGATCAGCATAAAACGACAAAAGCACATAGGAAAATTACAAACTTAAACTAAAATTAACATAAAATACTGAAAAAAAAAGCTACTTCAAAATGTTAATAAATGCTATACTAGTATATAAATAATGCTAAAATAACACTGATCTTTACATTAACATGCGCGAGCTGTCTTCACAAACAAAGTGTGCGTCAGCATTTGAAATTGAAAGCAGCCTTCTGTTAGTGAGGTTCATATTTTAAATATGATCCCTAGTAAAACGATTTAAAGAAATATTTACATTTTTATCTTGGTTTAGTCTGTAGCTACTATAAATAGTTTATATAAAAACAGTACGTTTATGACAGTTACAAATGTACAATATGTACACGTTTGTGAACGTGATTGTTTGCTTTGTGAGAGACGTGTGCCCTTTAGTCGTGTACTTCATAGCAGCTGACAGTGTGTGTGTGTGTGTGTCGTCATTCACTCAGGTTCAGAGCTACAATGCTTTTTTGTCAACTAGATTTCGCCGATAGATACTAGATACGCTAGAACTAGATACGCCGCCTCCGTCCCTGCATTGAAACTGCTCATAATAAGCTTCCTATACAACAATCTTATGAAGAGTTCAGATGTCACAGGAAGCATGAACCCATGCGTACATACAAGATGTGAGACTGAATGAAAGTGTGTGTTTGTATCTGCTACTGGTGGTTAATTTCTTTGATAAAGATCCACAGCGCGTCTGATTCCTCTCACTGCTGACCTCCGTCCATCTCTTTCTATTCGTTCCTTTCATCAGCAGAGAAATGAAACGTCAGAGTTTGTGTTCCTCACTGTTCCCAACCTTAAAGGGCTCAGATAATCGAAAACAAGGTTTTTGTACCTTTTTTGAAATAGTGTTCGAGACCCAAACGTTCACTCAAACACAAAACTAAACTGCAAAAATGGCTCATTCAGAAATCACAATCTTTTAATAAACAAAAACATTTTTGATATCATTGTTTTTAATATTAATATACAATAAGTGGTGAATTCTTGAGACTTTTTGACTGATTCATCAAAACAACAGGAGACATTTGTGTGTGAATCAGACTTCGTACATCCAGCAAAAACAATGCAGTACAAAACATGTTGTATATGATTGTATCCAGTCTTTTTATATCATCACATTTGACTCAGACTACAAACAATCGGAGTCAGAAACAGAACCAATCATAATAGAGGTCATTTACATATAAAAGTCTTAAAAGTACAGTAGCAAATTTAGCTTGTTTAATTCAAAGGCTGGGAGAGAAGAAACTAAGAAGCTGTTTTAGTGCAATAAACCTTGACTTGAGTCATTTTTAGTGTAAATACCTCCTCTGCTGATCTCTCTCACTTCAACAGTTTGAATAGGAGTCCATTTCATACTAATCTTTCCCCAATACACTCTATCTCTCTTACATTCTATCTCTCTATATCTCTTTGTATGTCTATTTGATTCTCTCTCGGTCAGCACTGAGACCTGAAGGATCTGATTCAGACTCCACCGGCACCAAAGCAAATAAGAAACATGGCAGCATGTATTTATATGGCTCTTTACTGTTCAGTCAGACTGCAGGAGACAATTGTTAAATTCACACAATTCACACCTGCTAAATTACTTTGTTAATGTTTCTTACTACCTAGCAACTGCCCAGAATACCCTAGCAACCCTTTAGAATACATTAGCAACCACATTTCACCAGCTTAAGCAAATTTTTAATTATTTTAAATTAAAGGGGTCATATGATGTGATTTCAATTTTTCCTTTCTCTTTGGAGTGTTACTTACATAATTTTTAATAGCTATTTGTTTTAAATACAATAATAACATAAAAATGTATTACATTACATTAATTTAATTATTTTATCTTTACTTATCTTTATTATTTTATTTTTAATTATTTTATACATTACATTACATTATTTATTAAATTAATTTCATTTTGACAGATTCATTCTTATTCTTCTCAGAACATCCTAACTGTGAATGTGCTCAAAACATTATGACTATGATTTGGGGTAGGAATCTTTAGTCACCTCACGATCCGATCCGATTCTGGGAGTCACGATCCGATTCCAGAGCGATTCTTGATCTACTTTTTCACCCCCTTATTACTTTATTAGTTTACCGACTTGAGAATCTTAAAGTCCTTACATTTACATATCCTTACATAAGTAATTAAGTACTTTTTAAAATAATTACAAATTGAAAAAAAAGAATTAAAACAGTTGTATGTTTAGAATTTTAAACTAATATAACTTCAAAACATACAAACATGCATAGCAAATAATAAAGAGGAGCATAGAAACATTATATATATATATATATATATATATATATATATATATATATATTATACAAACAACAAACAAAGAGTGCTTTCAGTATTTAAGATTATCTGAACGTTTTCCATTCAAGAACTGTGAGTGATTTTTCTTCATCTTTACTGTTGTTTTTTTACTATGACATCATAGACAGCGGGAGATCTATTAAGCTGCATTCACGCACGGATCTCTTTTGAAATATAAGAAGTAATGTGGTTTGTCCTGTCTGTTTAATCCCTTAAGACATAACTGGCTGTGTTTACATTAACATGCGCGAGCTGTCTTCACAAACAAAGTGTGCGTCAGCATTTGAAATTGAAAGCAGCCTTCTGTTAGTGAGGTTCATATTTTAAATATACAAGTCCACTGCATTCCAAACCACATAAATGATGACTTCGTAGAGCATTTGTAAGGAAAATACCGACGGGCGAGACCGCACACTTCAAGTGTAACATCAAACAAAGCACGCGTCTCTCACAGTGCATCCGGTGCAATGAAGCCTGCGAATGTCCTTGTAATTCGTTTCAACCTTTCCGAACTTTATGAAAGATTATTTTACAGAAGGTTCGAGTGGTGTATGTATGTGAGGAATTGGAAGCAAGCAGAATACGGGTGTTTCTAAAGCAAACTCAGCGACTAAGCTCAGAATCGATTCTGAAATTCTCAGAATCGTTGGAGAGAGAATCACGATGCATTGATGAATCATTTTTTTCTCCCACCCCTAACTATGATTTGCTTTGTTCACATGTAACATAAAAATATAACTTTCTTACATTTCTTCAAGGGACAGTTCACCCAAAAATGAAAATGTTCACTTACTCACCCTCAAGTTGTTTCAAACCTGTATGAGTTTCTGTTGAGCACAAAAGAAGATATTTTGAAGAATGTTAATTACCAAATAGTTGCTGGTAGTCACTGATTTCCAAATACTATGGATGTCAATGGCTACCATCAATTGTTTGGTTACCAACATTCTTCAAAATATCTTTTGTGGTGGAACAAGTGCAGGGTGTGTAAATGATGACAGAATTTTCATTATTTTTTTGGGTTAACTAACCCTTTAAGCTGAATCACCAGAATTTCACCAATGTATTCATCAACCTCCTGGACAGCAACCAGTCTGGCTTCAAAAGTGGACATTCAACCAAGACTGCCCAGTTCTCAGATGTTGAAGCCCTAAGACTGGCAAGAGCAGCTTCCAAATCCCCAATACTTATCTTGCTGGATCTGTCCGCTGTTTTTGACACGGTTAACCACCAGATCCTCCTGTCAACCCTATTGGCAAAGGGCATCTCAGGAATCGCACTCCAGTGGTTTGAGTCTGACCTCTCAGTCTCTTAGATAGGTCCTTCAAGATATCTTGGTCGCAACATCTAGCTACTGGGGTGCCTCAGGGCTCAGTTCTTGGACCACTTCTCTTCTCTATCTACATGGCATCACTAGGTTCTGTCATTCAGAAATATGGCTTTTCATATCACTGCTATGCTGATGACACTCAACTCTACCTCTCATTCCATCCTGATGATCCGACGATAGATGCTCGCATCTCAGCTTGTCTAACAGACATTTCTTGTTGAATGAAGAACCATCATCTTCACCTTCAACTCAACCTTGCCAAGACAGAACTGCTTGTGGTTTCAGCAAACCCATCACTTTATCAAAATTTCACCATCCAGTTAGGCTCATCATTTATTCAACATCAGGAAGATCAGGCCCTTTCTTTCAGAACATGCTACAGAAATCCTTGTTCAAGCTCTTGTTCTGTCCAGGCTGGACTATTGCAAAGCTCTCTTGGCAGGCCTTCCAGCCACTTCTATAAAACCTCTGCAACTAATCCAGAATGCAGCAGCAAGATTAGTCTTTAATGAGCCAAAAAGAGCACATGTCACACCTCTGTTCAGCAATATTCTTTTTCTATTCGATGTACTTTTTTCTTTTTATTTCTTATTAAAAAAAAAAAACATACTAACCAAGACTTGTCACATCACTTACATATTGTTGCTCTTTTGTTAGTTTGATTGCTTATGTTGTCCTCGTTTGTAAGTCGCTTTGGATAAAAGCGTCTGCTAAATGACAACATGTAATGTATAAATGTATTCAGTTCAAGCATGGCCTCTAAATGGAAAAACCTTAAATTTACAGTAAAGATAGTAAAGTTTGCAGACTCACATGCTTCCAGTGGCCGAGCTGCTGTCGGTGGGCAGAGAGCCATTGGAGCGCTCCATCTGTGCCAACCTGAACAGACAGAGACCCAGACCAATACGGGATCAATACGACAGTATCACACTGTTTATTAGCATTAAAAGGATGCAGCTTATGGATTTGTGTACCTCTGAGGCTCCACCATGACCGAGCATGTTTATTTATGTGTTTCTTGATGGATGAGAATATGAAACCATAAAAATGTAAATTCAAAGTATGAGTTCTGGTGTGGCCAAGTGGGTTGGACACAACCAATCAAAGCTCAATACCGAATAACTCTGCATCGTAGATAGTGCTAGTGTCAGGAGCTTTACTTTCTCACACACACACACACACACACAAACACACACACACGTCCTGAAGACTCGTCCCAACGGATTACCATCTCATAGAGTTCCTATAATGGGATTGAGGCTTCAGTCATAGTCTATATTCACAATCCCATAATAACCTCCTGTGTGTCTGATAGTGACTTTGAGAGAAACTAGCTGACGGTGAAAATCCATTTTCGAGTCTTTACGGGTAGAAGGTCAACACTGGAAGCATAGTATGTTTTTTTCTTCCCTTTGAACAGGTGTAAATGAAATTGATAGTGCCTAATATACTGTATATGGCACCAGATTAAATTGCCTTTGGCAGAGAGTCAGAGGTCTAACGGAGCATGTGTGTGTTTATACTGCTCCTCTGTCACCACTTTCATTTGTGGTGTTGCAGTATGACAGCATGAGGGCAGCTGATCTTATGATATGGTTACATCACTGAATAACGTAAATACTAACTCTAATGATGACAGAGAATGTGAAATTATACAGAAATTATTAGTACTTTATCAATCACAAATTAATAACTTTAATTTTAATTAATTTAGTATTAATTGTTAGTAATTAGTACTAATGATTATTGCTACATTTTGAATAATGTTAGTTATTACTGGTGCTAGGGCAGAATAAGTCCATGTGCATACATATCGTTGTTAATGATAATATGTGATTACTACATTAATTCACTACATACTTTTAAAAAATGATTCAAAAACGATTGATTGATGTGTATTGTAGACTTGTGTACAATGATATGAAATAAAACGACAGACACAAATCAATATATTGTTTTTCATTACACTGACATTATTTTTTTTTTTACTGAATATCATGTAATGTCTTTGAATTATCTTCATACGTTTTTCATTCTTTGCTTTTTGGTAACACTTTATAAGATGCCATACTTATATTTTACATGCACTTACTATAGTAATAATAACTAATAAATTGTGCATAATTACAAGCAACAAACCCTAAACCAAACCCTAATCCTATAGTAAGTACATGTAGTTAATTAATATTACTTTATACTTAATGTACTCTTAATATAAAGGTTCTTTATTGGCATTGATGGCTCCATGAAGAACCTTTAACATCCATGGAATCTGTCCATTCCACAAAAGGCTCTTTATTGTGGGAAAAAAACGGTTCTTTAGATTATTAAAATGTTCTTCACACTAAGAAAAAATATAGCTCTGTTAAGAAATGTTCACTAAAAGGAATCTTACTTTTAGGAGTGTAATTACACTGTAACAACACCACCTTAAAATAAATTGTAACCATTTTCCCTAGCAATACAGATACATGCAATTCATTTGATAATTCCTTTGACATTTACGTGATTGACAGCCCTAATTTTAACCAGTCAGACATCTGTAAATATGCTAATTCTTAAATGACATGAACGCAGCATGACATCAGTGTGGTATGTGTACTGTAATGTCGGAAGTGAGATATACCTGCTGGCGTACTGCCCTATCCGTGAGTGTGTGTCGTCATGAGAGAGTTGTGGCGATGGAGAAAGCCTGAAAACAAACACACACATAAACAAAAGCACACTCCAAAAATAACCAATGACAATCATGATTCTAAACATGAAATGTGTCTGATGATCTACAGTGAAGGCCAAGTGTTATTGGGATGGACGAACTGAGAAAGACGGTTAGACAAAAAAAACAAAAGGGAGGGTAGGGTGCTGGTGGATGTACTGCATGCTGTACTGAGGAAGGACGAGGAGGAAGAGGAGGACTGATGGTTGACTGTTGATACTCACTCATACTGCTCCGGACACATGCTGATGAGAGTGACCGGACTGCAAGAGGGAGAAAGAAAAAGAAAAACGAGAGGAAAGGAGGGGGAGTGGGGGTAGGGGAGGAACAGATTTTTTTTAGGGTCAGAGGTCACACAACGTAAAGGTCAGATCCACACAAGGATGTGGAAGTGTTCTGGCTGAAATACTCCTCCAGTACTGTAGGGGGCAGTGCAGAATACTGAGAAACACTGGATTAATTGAATGATTGAGAAATGATTACCAAAGTAATGAAATGTCGCCATTATTTATTGACTGTCATGTCATATTTAACCTGAATGACTTAATTTCTTCTGTGGAACAAAAGATATAAAAAAAAAAAAAAAACATATACTGAGGGTATGTCTACACGAAAACAATGTACTAAAAACCGGAAGTTTTTCCTTTGAATTTTTCACATACAGACGACAACGTTGTCAAAACGAGTCCCGTTCACACGGAACCACGAAAACAACTTAAAGCGCTGTATTATGCATGTTGGGCCAGTAGTTGGAGATGCCACACTGTAAAGAAAAACTATGGGAACACATAATACGCATGCAGATTTTCACAAATGTGTGTTTTTTTTTTTTTTTGTAGTTTACACTGAGACAATAACATCATTTTCGAAAACTTTTTTTCAAAGGTTTGTGTTTTCAGGCCCTCAAAAGCCCGTTGGCGTTTAAATGAATGGCCAAAATGCAAAAAAAGTGATCTGTTTTCAAAATGCACCATAAAATTATTATATATATATAATAATTTTATGGTGCATTTTGGTTTGGCCCTGATCACTGTATATATTTTCACTGTATGGAAATAGCAGCATGAACATTCTTCTAAAGGCCTAGTTTTGACTCCTACATAAAATTCATGTGGGTTAGAACAACATGAGTGCGAGTAAATGATGAATTTTCATTTTTAGATGAACTATCCCTTTAATAAAGCAACTTTGTTTGTGTCATTTCTTTAGAGCAACATTTGGCCTCAAAACTAGAGGAATCAGATCTCCAAACCAATCTTTAATCTTTCATTTATTTTCATTCCATTTCAGTGTCTTTTCATGTGAAAACTTACTGTTGATCGCACATAGCACCAAGCGCAAAAAATCAAACGCTCTGCTCCGACTCGACAGGGACAAGTTTAATCTACAAGTTTAATGTGTCTCTTGGAGATGATAAAAAGTGTCATTTTTTCTTTTAAAGGAAACCATTCAGCAGATGAGATGATAATTGCAAGATGAGAAATTCAAGGTTAGATTGGTTCACGTTTGTCTTTTTTAAGAAAAGTAGGGGCATTCCCATCTGTCACACTGCAGGATTGGGGCATTTTTGTCTCTTTCACAGTTGACACGGCATCGAGGGGTGATGTGGAGACGAGAGGTCTAGGATGAGATCTTCAGATGACAGAGAATGACTTACAAACTCTTTTCGTTTTATGAAGGAAGGTCAACAGAGGCAGGAAAAGACGTTTTTCTTTTTAATAATGTTTAAAATTGTTGGAAAGAGCAAAAGTCAAGATTAAATGGCTTTCACAGCTCATTTAACTTTTGTAATGTGACACTCTGAGAGTGAAACGCTTATCCATCGGGAATTGAGTGGATCAAGAATGGCAAGATTTTGCAAAGGCTTTATTAATAGCAGCCTAAAAGATTATTTGGCTGTTGGTTAAAGTCAACATGAAATGAAAATGTAACCCATTTATTTTCTAAATGCATGCTTATTGATCTTACAGTGAACGATTCATCCATGTTTAGTTTTTTTTTTTTTCAGAACTCGATTTTCCAGTAAAACAACAGACTTCTCTCTGGTGACATATGATAATCATTTATTTTAAAATAAACCCCACCCCTCCACAATCAACTGCATGCTCACATTAATTTTTGAGTGTCACGCCCACATCTCAACATCCAAATGATGCATAGATGCATTTTCAACTTGGATGTAAGTCGCAATACGGAAAAAAAGATCCATTGCTACTTCCATTACGTTACCACTTTAACAATATCTAGACTGGGGCCCGTTCTTCGTACGTCGCTTATTTTATCCGAGATGAAATGTCACATCCAAGATGATATCATCGCGCTAATCAGGATCTGGCTAATTCGGTCCTTTGAGCGCACCTGTTGTTGATGATTAGTATGGCTGGATTGAGTTATCTGAGATAATTGCGCGTTCATGGGTTGGTTTAAAAGGGGCTATGTATCGATACTCGAAACCACGATCAGCAATGCAGCGATTGGCTGGCGGCAAGACAGCAACGTAATGCCATCATATAATCAAAAACGAAAAACTTGACAAATTTATGGACTTTTATAAGGACACAGCCAAGTGAACAAAACTACATAAATGTTATAATAGATAAATGAAATGTGCACTGTTTATATTTTATTTTAATTCTTTACATGATTCCTAATTAGGCTATTTATATTCACGATTTCTAATATTTGTGCAGGCTTTACATTTTTATTTCAATGTAGTAATTGGCAATTCATTTAATTTTATATTTGAACAGATTTGTTGATAAAGTTTCTTAAGGGTCAAGATCATTTTATCTGCATCTCCTGCGCTCCATCAAGCCACTCCCACAATATCTGTCAGCACTCAAATTAATGCACGACTCTACATTATCTGTGTAGCATGTGTGTAAGACTCGAATACAATTATGAAGTTATAATTTTATGACGAATAAATATTTCAGTGAGTAAAACTGGCTGTGTCTGTAGTATTAAAGACTACACAACATTATTATATTATCTTTAAATTAATTTTTAAATGATTATTATTTTTTAATTATTGTCTCTGGATTAGTAGGTTACTCTTGTAATAAAGTAGCGGTGGTAGAGGACATATTTTAAGTATCAATTCTGCTTAAAAAGATGCAATCTAATCCTGTTTACATGAAATAAACCTGCACCCGAGCAGGTTTAAGCTTATGGAGCTGTTGCTATGACAGCAACTCCGGGATGAGCTTCGAAGAACCAAACAATCCAAGATCATGCCAAATCATCAACAATCAAATCCAGCTAAATGAGTTAGCGACGTACGAAGAACGGGCCCCAGGTCAGGTAGAGAGTTGTTTCTGTTTTTACATTTTGATGAAAGATGAAGGCGACCAACATTTGTTTCTATGGAAGAATGTGCGCTTATGATTTGTTTGACCAGGAAAACGTATTAAGAATGTAAAAAGGGTCCATTATGATTTCATGTTGACTTTTAGTTCAGCTGAAGAGGGAGAAATATGAGTCATGTCAAAGACAAAACGGTCCAGTTATCTGGGCTGTTAAATGGCTGGTTTGGTGTATCACTATGTACAGAGCGCTGGACTCAAAGTAACGAGGGATTCTGTAAATTAGTGCTGACAGAATCAACAAACACGAGCTCGCTAATAAAAGTCGGTCAATATCCCCTGGCGCTTCAGAATTTCAAGAAAACCAAACATGGTGCATGTTTGACTGCATGGTTTCATTTTGCTTTTGGAAACGGTTCTGAATATATTTCAACCACGGTCATCACTCTTTGTTAAATCTGACACAAGGCGATGGGGTTTACTCATGCTGGTGCACACCGCAGCATGTCTGTTCAGAAACCTGAAAATCAAACGTTACATGAAATGGTTTGCCATCACCGACGCTCAGATCGGCTGAACGTCACGCTAACGTGGAACGACAGGAAGCCTGTGCAGTGCGAGCAGTCATTTCGGCTCTGCTCATGGGGATTTATAATCAGCACCAACTGAAGAAATGGGTCATCTGCAGTTCCCCGTCATTTAGCAGGAGCTTCTTTCTGACACAAATTCATGAAATGGTCCCACTGGAAAACCAAAGTGCCTTAATCAACGGTAGTATGGAGATAAGGCAGAAGTGGGAACTGCATAACTCTTTATTTTCTTGAATTGGCCATACTTAGGCTCTGTTCCAAAAACACTGAACTGCCTAGGGCGGCATTGTAAGACATCATACAGTAGGCACGTTCCCAACACGGGGGCAAAAGACAGGCTGCATAATCGCGCTGCCTTCCAAGATGCCTTCTTTTGTTCAAATTCTAAGCCAGCATCACATGAATCTTTAGCGGAAAATTTATTACGACAAATTCAGTGGAAAAAAAATCCATGCAATTTGGCAGGCAAAATGAGAGAAATGTTGATTATGGGCCCTTTTTACATTCCCAGGGTTCTCAGCAGCAGAAGTCATCATAGTTTGGTACACTTCTATAGTGTAGTATAATTTTTGCATTTCCATTTGCCCCAACAGCAAAAGAAAAAAAAAAATCCACAATAGTATTTCTTAGCATTCTTAGTGACTGTGGAAATGTGTCACATAAGGGTCTATTAAATGTAACTAATTAATTACTAAAAAAAATCTGTAAAAATAAAATGAATCTAATATGTGTGTGTTGGTTTTATGCATATTACACTGTGTATTTAGCATTTTGCTAAATTAACTTGCCCATAAACTTGAATTTGTTCAACTGAACGTGAGAGTTGAGATATGTGTGACATATCTTTGCTCATAGCCTTCAAATAATCACTTAATAGGTTCTACTTGAGTTAATGTTGCCTTAATGCTGAGTTAATGGAGCGTTCACATTTATTGCTGCTTAGTGAAAATTTGCAGGTGAATTCCAGTCATTCTGATAGGAATCCATGCAATCGGGAGTTTCACATAAGGGCAAACATTTTGCGAATTCAACACACTAGCCAACAGAAAGCTGCTTGGTTTGAGTGACTTCAGTGTGAGTTGTGCTTCATTTGTCGCTGCACTATTGACAATGCACCTTTTTTTGCACACAAAATTTCACAAACGTAACACACCTTTAGAAAGTCGTCAGTAGACAGCCTTCTAGGATTTTAAACAAAGATCACAACCAGCTCGAATCTTTAGAGTAGAGGTTAAAAGAGGTTATAAAGGCTTTCACACAACAGCACAGGCCTCTGTGTAGAGAATATATTTCAAGAAGTTATATCAACATTTCTGGACAGACAGAAAATCAGCACTATGAAGTGAGATGTGTCGACATGATAATATTTGAACAGCAGCTCTGAGCAGACACAGCCTATATTCAAGGTGTCTAAAGCTTGATTACTGATGTAGCGTATCATTCAATTCAAGTTGGAATTTCAAACCAACAGACTTTGGCAGAAATCAAAAGGCCAACTTCTCTGAGAAGGTGCTCTCATCACTGGAGAAAGACGACAACCATTTTGATGCAAATTAAATGATTTCTTACAGGACTTCATAATAAAAAAAACTATTTAGCAAACGCTTGAAAGACAAGTACTTAAAGCCCGGGATACACCAAGCTGACTTCAAAGAACCAGCAGCGACTAAAGCAGACGGTGTTGTCGACTCGCGTTGGCTACGTCTGGACCAATAAACCACGCTTGAACACACCGCTCGGACTACAGCCCACTGCAAACTAGCATGTGCTTTCCATCTTGACTTACTTGCTCATTTTCATCACTTTCGCTTTAATTCTCATGCACTAACTTGTTCGCTAAACTGAACATCCAATCAGAGTTCTCACTCTCGCCGACAGCCCCGACGCATATTCAAAATGTTGATCCGGGCAAACTGCCACCAACGAGAGGCGATGGGTGGAACACACCAAAAAACTAGCCTGACAGACGCTCACCGATGGCCCCATGTTGGCTGACGGCTGACTGTCTGCTTGGTGTGTCCCAGCTAGCGGTGTAACGGTACACAAACATGACGGTTCGGTGCATACCTTGGTTTTGACATCACGGTACAGTACCGTTTCGGTGCAGTAGGGGGAAAACTAAACATAAATTTTCTTTTTTTTTATTAAACAGTGGTTTACTGAACAAATTGCTCTCTTTAAATAAATTTATTTATAATAAAAATTTTCTTAGGGATAAAAATCTCCCTCGGCTTATGCTCTATATTATTAACTATAGTTTAATGATATTAACTATAGTGAGCCCTTTAACATTACTATAACGTTACAATTAACAACAGAGCGCAAACTTAAATTTAATTACTATTTATTTTTAAATATAATAATCAACACTCAACTTAAAAAAAATTGTATGCAAACATGTAAATTACACATAATGCAGTTTTTAAATTAACTTTTAAATGATAAAAATGTTATTTGTTGTTGAAATATAATCATTTTAGACAGTGACTGTCATAACTTGTTTCATAACAGATTTATTTAAACATACATTAAATAATGAAGACATCACTAACAGGTAAGTGAAATATAATGATTATAAAGTCTAATATTTCGCGAAATGCTCTTCTCTAGACTTCATTTATAGCGCACTAACGAGATGTGGATACTGACGATTGAATGAGGTGAATGAAAAGCTACCTGACGTTTTGTTTACAAGCTGTTATATTGGCGTTTTTCCGTGGTTGAAACACTGGTTGAGCGATTACATGAGGAGTGAGAAGTTCATTCATGTTTATTTCGCGTTAAAACTAGTAGTAAAGAGGAAGGGATGATCGCGTTGAAGCGCTGAACTGAGCCGTTTATACAGTGATCTGTCGCGACACATCAAAGTGCGTCAAAACGGCATTTATTGTTTGAATTTCCTGAAAAAAAAGGACACAATATGAAAGATGAGACTTTGTTTCTTATAAAAAGTAACAATAAAACTGGAAGTTTCCAATGAAGTTCCACTCGTGCAGTGGTTAAACCAATGCTGTATTTGTTTGGTACACATGCGTACCGAACCGAAAGACCCGTACCGAAAATGTTCGATACGAATATGTGTACCGTTACACCCCTAGTCCTGGCCTTAAAACAATGCAAATAATGACACCTCAGCTTCCTGGTTTTTAATGGTACAATGTGTTAGCCTTGGCATTTTACTTCTTTTAGATCCTGTCTCTTTCTCAGAATTCAGGGACTTCTAGTCAGAAAAGAAGTCAGTCACCATTCCTCACATTTCTCAATAGTTCTTCAAACCTTGCAATGTGAATAAGCTCACTGCGTGAAGGCTGTAAAAGCTCTCCAGACAGATAATGACTGGAGGCGGCAGTAAGACAAAGCCTGAGGACAGTCAAATTCAAACAAATTGCAACACAAATATACAGAACAACTTTCAAGACGCTTACGTTTCCATGTTGTCTCCCTCTAGGACCGTCTGGACGGGCAGGTATCCCAGGCGAGGGTGCTTCGCGAAATACTTCTTTGAGCGGAACTTGTTTTTTAAGACTTTGGTAAAATCTCGCATGTCTTCTCCTGAGGTGGTCTGAAAATGAAAGAGGCAGACAGATGATGGATGAGGAAGTGGATTTACGTTATTAACAATTGTTCAGAAGCAACTTCAATACAATAAAGCCCGGGAGTCACCAGTGGTTTGAACCCCCAGTATTAAACTTTGCTGTGTAGGCGTTGGTACTTGGTAGAGAATATTTAGGAGTTTCACTCTGAATCAAAGCCTTGGAAACCATCCAGAAGGTACAACTCATATGTCTTCTAATTAGGTGACATACAAACACACACTTGCATCATTACTTTTGCTAACAAATGGGAATTGAGGCTGAAGGTTCTCTCCATAGTAACTCTGACCTGAAAACACAAGCTTCCACTCCTTTATATTTAGAAGGTGTTAGCAGACACAAGCAGTTTGCACACACGAGGGTTACACAAGTATACACATGCGTGTTTTAGGTCAGTTTGAGTGAAATGCATTATAATGAGAGCACACAGAGAGCACACTGATCCGTCCATTTACACTCATCTCATTCTCCATTTGTCTACTGAGCCGAGCATGGTGTTTCAGTCCAGGATTTCTCTGTATGCGTCTCCACACAAAGTCTTCTTAATCTGCACATATTCACCAACCAAATCGTATTTCTCCTGCAGACTGGGAGACCAACCGAAAAACAAGGATGTGACAGCCCATGCACTACAGAAGGATTCTGTCTCTCCTGTTCGGTCTGCTAAACTCTCAAGTCAAACCAAAGACCAACAGAACCCATGAATTCCAGATCTCACGAGCACATGAAAGTTCAACATGCTGGCTGAAAGATAAAAACTCGTATTTAATTACAACAGCCAATTGCCTTATAAATGCATTTTTTTGCTTTCCTTTTTTTTAAGCCTTTTGTGTGAGAAACACCAGCTAGCAAAATACGAGTGTGGAGACTTGGAGAGACAGTTTGTAACCGTAAATGCACAATAGCATACAAAAACAAATTGCTGTTCATCAGCACTTCCTGCAGACTGGGGCATTCATACAGAATTCAATGTTTTTCTATTTTATGACGGGCGGCAACCAGCATTAATGTGCAATACTGTCATCTGCTATGTTGGAGGGTCAACTAGTGTTACTGGCATGATATTTATAAAGTATGTGAAGTATTAACATGATATCACTATTACATTTTTTTAATATTATGGTTGTCGTTAATAATGATATATTGCAACAAATATACAAGTCTTGTATGATGCAATTATGGTGCTTTTTATCGTTTTTGAGCTTGATCCCCCAAAACTTCATGCTTTCAGTTGGCCTCATTCAGCAAACATGAGCAGTTAGAATAATAATAAAAAAAAACTCTTCTTGTATCAATTTACACACTGGGTTTTCAATGGTGAAAAAGAAAAACAAAACCAAACAGACATATAATAATGTGAGAAAATGTGAATAAATGGTGTTTTTTTCCATGTTTGGGTGAAGTTTTCATTTAAGAAAGGGCTGAAGATCCTGAACAGCACATTATTCATTTACTCTGACACTGAGCTAAAGAAACTCTTTGTATCCCACAACTAATAAAAACCATATCAACAACAAAAAGCAATATCACCACGATGAAAAAGCAATACCGGCGTAACAGCCCAACCGAGGGCCACAAAGGCATATTCTGTTCAATATTGATCTTCTGCTCTCTGAATGCTGATGACAGTATTTGGTGTTGTATCGAAGGTAAATTTGGTTTATAGTTATGCATGTGTGTGTGTGTGTTTCTGGGATACGTCGGTTTGAAAGGAAATGAAAGAGTCTAGATGGTGACCCTGAATGTCAGCAGAGACCATGTCAACTAGACGAACCCTAGAGACAGATCCCCTGTGAAGAACTCATTAACTAGACGACCATCGGCACAAGACCACGAGAACCAGATGAGTCCTCTGCACAATCCGACGTGTGTTGCAGCCTGGAATTAAACCACGCCATGCTGGTTTCGTCTGGCCAGAGGAGAACTGGCCCCCCGACTGAGCCTGGATTCTCCCAAGGTTTTTTTCCCTCCATTTCGGTCACCGATGGAGTTTTGGTTCCTTGCCACTGTCACCTTTGGCTTGCTTAGTTGGGAACACTTAATTTCTGGCAACATTGTTGACTTGAGTGCACAGATACTATTGGAAGAGAACTGAACTGAGCTGAATGACATCACTAAATCAACAATTAACTGACTTTAACTGGAAAAATGACTCTTTGTTATTGTCTTGCATTATTGACAAACTATTTTCCTGTTTGACACTGTAAAGCTGCTTTGACACAATCAGTATTGTATAAAGCGCTACATAAATAAAGGTGACTTGACTTGAAAGGCATTATCTTCCTGTCAATATAAAGGTATGTGGACATTTCACAACTGCTGGTGGTCCGTGTGATAGAAATCTGACAGGAGTGATTAATTCAGGATTACTGCTGCCCCGCTGAATGCCAAACCAAAAAACAGAGCGAACAAATGACCCGACAGAGTTGAAGGAGAAATGAGAGTTTACATCCATTCAAAAACAATAAATCAGTCACTTGATAATGTTACATAGCGGCTGGTGGGCTCCAGTTTCTAGCTCGGCACTGTTATAAAACAATTAGTTATGCCTGAGCCATTTTTTAGTCCGAGTGTCGTTGTCTGTGCACTCAAACGTTTCACTGTATCACTGTATCAATTTCTCTCTAGAATCACAATTATATAGCTCACAACATTGTAAAACATTGTCATTGGCAAAGTAAAAGGAGCCGTATTGTGTTGGAAATGTCACTATATATTAACAACTTCTTTATAGAACTGTTGTATAAAAGTTATATTACATTTGTGATCAATATTTTGGGGCCAGTGGTACTTTTACGTGATGCTTCATAGAACAGCACCATAAACTTATTACAGAACTCATTCACACGGAGTAACCTGGGGTTAAATGGTTTGTTCAAGGTCACAATAGTGGCTCATTGCTAGCAGAGATCAAACAAGGAACATTCGGGTTACCCGGATACAACAGCCAATACAATGGCCATTTCTGTAATGTTGGAACATGTGCATATGCTAATAAGTTTTAGGAACTACATAGTCTGTTTTTCTAGGGGTGGAAATGTTTTGATACCTCACAATTGGATTCAAATTGATTCTGACATGTAATAAGAAACACTACAGAAATTGAATAATCATATGTAAAACTAAAACACTGCATAGTCTTCACTGTATGAATAAACTATAAATTGATTCTTAATAAAGATAGAAAAGTGATTCAGTCAAGATTACTGAGTGATTCTCTCTCTCTCTTTTTGTTTGATTAACATTAATGAAACAGATGGCAACAAAGTTCCTGCTGTTACTTTAAGAACGAATGTACGGATCCTATAAACTGATACACACTGAGTTTCTCTTAACTGTTTATGTTCACATAGGAAATAACCGTTTACGTTAATACTCCACACAATGGTTATTTTGGCATAATTGTTTGTGTATTTGGCCATTCAAGTGCAATAAGCCGCGAAAGAGATCTTAATTCATGATAGCATGGTGAGAGGTGGCAATCAGTGTGTGCTCCGGGTGAGTGTGTGTGTCTGTCATTGCGAGAGCCACATTGAGTTATTTTTCACTAATAACTCTATTTAACACCATGCACGTCCCAAATTCACTATTGCATGCAGGTGAGCATTGAGTTCTTTTCCACAGCTTATTGCGCTTAATAACTCTATTTAACATCAAGCACGTCCCACTCTTTTTTCATTCATGCATGTTTCTTTATCAATGTAATATGTCAATAACTTTACATAGTACCTCGAGGTAAAAAAAAAAAAAGTAAACATTATATAAACCATTAGAAATTGATTTTTGAAATTTGTAAAATAGATGCAATCGCGATTCTTATGTAAATCGATTTATTCCCCCACCCTATGTTTTTCACACAAAGCTAAAACAGGTCTTCTGTTTTAGCTTTCTGTTCAATGCAAGCGTTGCACTGAGTGCATCTCAAAATCCAATCAAAAACTGATGAATAAAACCAAGTGTCCATCCTAGATTTTTTAATTTTTTTTAAATAATCCATTACACCTGGAAGTACATCACTACTTCCATTTCATTTTGACTTTAACACCCTTTGGTAATTTTCCTTGTATGGAAAAGAGCAACGTGAACATTCTTTATAATTTCTCCTTTCATGTTCATTTTTTTGTGATTCATCTGATTTGTGGGATCCCTTGCGGAGTTTGAACCTACAAAATTTTGTTTCACCACTTTACTACATCACAGAAAAAAACAAAACAATCTGGAGCTGAACCATCTAGTGGAAGGTAAACGCACATTTGTCAACCCTCCACTATATTATTAATGAAAAGGCAACATTTCTTTGCTCAAGTGCCTGTTACAATTGTTTTTAAGTTGTATCATTATTCGGTCTAAATTCATTGAATTTGCATTGAGTTGAAGAGAGCAAAAAGAAATGTGGTTACCTTTTGTCATGCTGATCACTGACAGTGACAGCTTTTCAATTTCACGCTCTGAAACTGAGCTATTGAATTGAACACCTTAAATTTCAGGTTTCACAGAGCTTGCGTTGTGGAGGTGGGAGGAAATTCCGCCAGTGGTACTGCTAATAGATCAAGGCCCTCTGAGTTTTAACTACTCTCCATCTGGCCTGCAGCGGTGGAGAAGAAACTAACCTTCGCCATTACTCTCATACCATAAGCTCCTGTTCACTGACCACACATCACAGTCGCAGCTGGAATAAAAACTGAATTCATGTGCTGCTGATGCTAAGACACTTCCAAAGAGCAGCTAGCAGGATTACTCCTCCTACGAGAGATACGATTCTAAGGCCCCGATCAGACAGAACACGTTTTTTAGGTCTGAAAACGCGAGGCGCACTGTGCTGAGGTTTTTATGTTGCTAGGCAACCACTGAATCAGCTGTCCTGTCAGTGTAGCGCAAGCGCTCTTTGGTTTAATTCGATTGAGCAATGGAAAAAAACGCGAATGACGTCAGGCGCTTTTCTGCTCAGAGTTGCTTTTTTTTCAACTTCAGGCGCTTAGAGCGCTCCTGCAAAAATGTGAGGCGCAGCAGGTGGCTAAAACGCGAGGCGCCCGGGGCGCATAAACAGCGCACAAAACGCTCACTGCTAATAGAAAACAATTAAAAAAATGTCTGTCTGATCTGGGCCTAAGGCAACTTTTGCATGTGTCCTTCATTGAATTAAAAATGAACTTTACACACAATAATTTTTGCAGAGTACCATGCTGTTAGCCTATTACAATATTGCTGGCTTAGTTTATTAGTCACATGCTAATACCAAAACCTACACCTGAAATTAACTGCGAGTCAAATCTTCATGAGTTTCGCATGAGAAGTTGGCGCCTGTTATGGAAATGTTATTTCTGTATTTCGGAGGTTTCTTTTTAATGTTTTTTCTTGTTTTCTTGTTCGTGTTAGGAAAAATATTAAGGGAACATTATGGAAATGTTACTTTTGAATGTTTGTCTGAATGTTTTGAAACAAGTAGTAAGCAGTGACGTTTCTAAAAAAAAAAAAAAAAAAATCTAGAAAAAAAAGTCACTTTATTTTAAGGTCCAATTCTCGCTATTAACAAACCATAAACTTTGACTTTTGCCTCAAACTCATAATTTGCTGCTAATTAATAGTTAGTAAGGTGGTATTGGGTTACGGATGTAGAATATGGTCATGCAGAATATGTGCTTTATAAGTACTAATAAACAGCCTATAGCTTCTGAACTTTAAATCAAAACAGACTTGTGATTTTATGACATCAATTACTACTTTATTCATTCAGAAACACAAGTATCTTAATGTGACTGCTGACTATACTCTGTACTTGCATTCTCAGAGGAAATGCGCTGAACCAAAACAGTGAATCTAATCACCATTCAGGCAAAAGTTCGCTTCAAGAATGACCACAGTGCTGACGTGATCTTATCACTAGCACATCCTGAGCACATGTGAGTTATTCGTATTATTGGCAAGACACATCGCCATAATTTTCGTATCAGGCTGATGTTGATGTTACATTTTAAGCCTTTATCAGCTTATTCCAATGATGTTCCGATAATACCGAGCATCCCGAGTAGCTGCGTTTGTAGTCAGTAGACACGAAGACATCTCACTAGGTTTTGGAACAGAGCCACAGCTCTACCACTACCGAATGCCCACAGTAATGCTCATTCATGCAAAACCTCTCTTTTATGAGCTCCAATTTGCAAGCATAATTACACATGCCTTGATTTGATGGGTAGAGAGAGAGAGTACGAGAGGGGTAGAGGTTCAGGCGCTAGCTAACTCACCGGTGTGCAGTACTCCACCACGGGGTAGTTGAGTTTATGACCCTTCGCTGTGCGACCAGAGAAGAAGCAACTCTGGCAAACGTCATAGTTGAAGTGCTTCAAACTGCGATATCTGCAAAGATAGAAAGAAAGCACTGACAATTAGTATGCTAGGTTTTCATTGTATAGAAGAGGGTGGTGAATATTTTTCGGTTTTACACAGGAAAACATTATTATTTTGGATTCATTATAGCCATAACTCTAAACCAGCCATTCTGTAGTTTCGTCAAACTATTATCCACTTGTTATTCCACTATTATTCAGTTTGTCTGAAACTGACAGTCCTCTTGAGAATACTCACTCCAGTCACGCCACGCTCGATTCAATAACATCATTAGCACACAGTTTAGAAGTGTTTCTATTTCACAGATTTTCCTCATATACATGTAAATTGAGTGTGGAGGAAGACAGCACAGTGTGTGTTGTTTGTTTTTTGGTTTCTTCTGTTCTCTCCAGGAAATGCAAATTCAATAGAATTTAATTCCTCCAGTGTGCAATATTTCCACCGCACTGCCACATAAATGATATGACACTAAAAAGATGCTGCATTTTCCAAAACAGCTCCCTTTCTCTCTGGGGCGGCCCATCTGAAAGCACAATATAACACTGAGGCCCCTGCTGAGAATGACTAAACATCACACCATCGGTACTTTAGCCAAGATCTCTTATATTAGCCTCTGCAGGATAACATGAATATTATAAAACTGACCTAAAATCCAATTTGATGACGTTTGTAGATATTGAAAAATAAATCAATAAGCCTTGAGACTTTGCATGTTACAGTGATTTTACTGCAGATAATAGATGCCCTAAGGCACAATAATAATAATAATAATTATAAAATAACATTAATTTTTACATGTGTTTTTTTTTTTTGCTTTTACTTTTAATATTTCTTTATGAAGTTTGACACGTTGAATATGAAAATCACATAACTTGTTTGTGTATCATTAACAGTGCTCATAAAAAACTAAAATAAATATGTTGACAACTTGCACAAGCTAATCTGTTATCATTCAGAAGTGTGCGTTGGATGATTTTAGTCCCACAATGTTCTGGAATGTTCCAGACAGCACTAGAATATTACAGAATATTCCAAAATGTTACAGAAACTTCTAGAATGTTCCCATCCTTGCAAAAGGAAAAGCAAAAAAACGGTGTTTCATAATTAATGACAGAAGTTCAAATTTACCTGACCTATAATATTTACCAAAAAATATTGATGCTACGTGAAAATAAATAGTACAATAATAATTAGCACCATAGAATTACAGAAGAACCAAAAATGTAAGTGAAACTAATTGTGACCCTGGAGCACAAAACCAGTCTTAAGTCGCTGGGGTATATTTGTAGCAGTTTATTGATATTGATATATTAAAAAATTATAGATTTTTCTTTTATGCCAAAAATTATTAGGATATTAAGTAAAGATCATGTTCCATGAAGATATTTTGTATATTTCCTACTGTAAATATATCAAAACTTAATTTTTGATTAGTAATATGCATTGCTAAGAACTTCATTTGGACAACTTTAAAGTAGATTTTCTCAATATTTTGATTTTTTTGCAGCCTCAGATTCCAGATTTTCAAATAGTTGTATCTCGACCAAATATGGTCATATCCTAACAAACCACACATCAATGGAAAGTTTATTTATTCAGCTTTCATATGACGTATAAATCTCAACTTCGAAAAATTGACCGTTATGACTGGTTTTGTGGTCCAGGGTCACAATTTTTGTTACATTGTGTAACAGTTCTAAATAATAATAATAACAGGAATAAATTACACCAAATATTATAGTGATATAGAGTTAATCTATAAACAGGCATGATGTGGATTTTTTTTAAAGGGGTCATATGACGTTGCTAAAAAGAACATTATTTTGTGTATTTGGTGTAATGAAATGGGTTTATGCGGTTTAAGGTTAAAAAAACATATTATTTTCCACATAATGTACATCATTGTTTCTCCTCTATGCCCCGCCTTTCTGAAATGCGGCGATTTTTACAAAGCTCATCGGTCTGTAAAAGCAAGGTGTGCTCTGATTGGCCAGCTATCCAGTGCGTTGTGATTGGCCGAATGCCTCAAGCGTGTGACAGAA